TGACCTTGACTTTTTCAAAAATACCTTACATGAGAAAATATTCAGCCGTCCCGGGACTTAATTGACACCCTGTATATATATATATAATGTATTTTTGTACATATATATATGTATATCATATATATATTTTATTTTTTAATACATTAAAAAAATTTTTATTACTTTAAATGAAGCTGGGTAACGGGGTGCCTCTTTTTATATGTACAAGACACTTTACTGACGCCGTATGGCCGCACATGCGCAAACAAACCGGTCCCTAATCGGAACACTGCTGACGCTCGACACTCAATTTCAATACAGAGCTGCCAGTTTTCTCCGGAGAGCTCCATACGCACACAACCGAAACCCGCTACATCACGTGTGCACTCAGCTTTCGGTTTATAGAAGCGAGCGGACATGTTTTGCGTCTCCTTTCCACCAAGTTTAAAGGCCGAAGCACAGACTTTTAAGGCATAACAAATAAGGGAATCAACCAATCCAAAGTTCTTTATTTCCATCCCCACTTCTCATTCTGCGGATCTCTGATTGGTTGATTCTCTTATGTCTCATGTAAAAGTCTGTGTTCCGGCCTTAAGAATTGTAAACTAATTGATATTACGCCATATTACGGTCAAGCAAATTTTGATAGAAGCCTGCACATGTGTGTGAACAAATATAAATTTTTTTCAAGTATATAAATACAATAGTATCGTTTTCTTTTTGTAGCAGAAGAGAAGGAATTTTAATTTTAATTCAGAAAATTTGCCTTTAATTTTGAGACATCTATTAAATAGAAAAAGCACAATTACTTAAATTAAATTAGAAATTCATACAAGTTTAGTTAATAAACAAGTTATTTTTTATATATTTCATATATCATTATAGTAAATATTATAACATTATTGTGGATTGTTTATCTTTGAAATACAAACTGTTTAAATCACATGCACAAGTATATTATTAATATAGTAATTAAACATAAAACTAATATGTAATAGATATATAAATGTGCAAAACTAAAAACATATTTTAATAAATGCTTAACTCAACTAAAATCCCAGAATATATCTTAATATATTATAATATTGTTTTAATCTTTTTTCAAAGATTTTGAAAGGAAAAGCTTTTTTTTTTTTAGTATCTTATTTGCGGTTTTCCCAGTAAGTGCGTACGCGTTGCTCGACATAATAACCGTTGCCACTCCGACCGCTTGTACATGTGCGTTCACGCACCATAGTAACGTTTTTTCCTTCCTGTAAGTCAACAAAAATCACTTAAAATTAAAAAGACAAGAGATAAAATTGCAAAATTTATATTAAAAATGTTACTTTACAGAAAAAAAGTTAATAGTATTATTTTAGAAATGAGATATTCAAATATAGAAATCATATTCTTTTATTGTTATTGTGCTGGAATTATTTCAATAAAATGTTAAATTATAATTCATGTCTACATATTCAGCAATTTTCAAGATAATTTTTATTTTATACCACATAATCTGTTCGTTGGTAGGCCCTAGCTTCTCCACAATTTCCTCTTAAAGCAACTTGGTTATTTTTGCCTCCACAAGCAATAGCTTTAGGATTGGAAAAATCTTCAGTAAAACTCTGTCCATGTGAAGAATTTTGATCAACATAGTCCCAAGCTGCATTGGGTGTTTCAAATCTTCTGTAATCATTGTACGAGTACCCATCCACTTGTTTTTTACAATCTTCCCTAGTAAATAAAATTTTTAATTAGCCTTAATTAAAAATTTTTATCGAATGTAATTAATTTTCCTCTTACCAATTATCAAAAACTCCAGTTGTACGACCATTGGCTACTGCATAGTAAGGCATTCTGTTAAAAAAATTAATTTCAGAATTTTAAACAATTTTATTGCATTCTATGTTAAGCAAATACTATTATGACTATTAACTATTGTTACTATTATGACACTAATACTTCTATATATAAAATTTTGGAAATTATTTATTACACAACCCAATATTAATATTGTTACTATAATTATGTATGTGCATAAAAGAACAAATGCTATATCTTTATTATGCTTACAATTATGGAAATGTTATATTGCTTCAAAACATATAATTATAGAAGCAAAAAATTGTAAAGTAACATTTATTACAAGCCTTGTGGCATTTACAATTCTAAATAATACTAATTGGCAATTTCGTGATATGTCCTGATCACTGGTGGATCATGTGGTGGAGGAGGGGGGAGGATTAAACCCCCTCCAAGTTAAAAAAAATCAATTTTGCTGGATCCGTTTCAAAAATCTTGGTAAAAAATGCATTAAATCAGGTCGGGAACCCCCCCCCCCCTCCCTTATCGACATCAGGATCCGCTAGTGATCCTGATATATATAAATTAATTTCGAATAGCCATTAATCGAGCTGATAGACAAATTATGTTCACGACTCTGTATCGTTAAAAAATTTTCGTATATATACACGACAGAGAAAATTTCTTAACGATACAGAATCGTGAACGTAATGTCTTTGTTAGCTCGATCAGTGACCATTCAAAACTAATTTTTATATTTTTCAATTTTTGCGAAAGCAAAATATTATATCTGCTTTAATACTTACTTGATCAATTTATAATATCAAAAATTTTCGCACTAAATAATGTCAATCTATAGAATTTTCACGAATTTTCGCGAATTTCCACGAGGTTTGACAATGACATTCACTGTTCACCAAATAGCATTAGATTCGTCCGTTGTCCATATGTTGTCATAAAAAAATTTGAATCTCGTGAATCCCTTGATAAAAGCATAAAGGCCGTATTACACTAGAAATTGCGGACGTAAAGTCACGCCATTGAGAATCAACAAAGTGAAATAGATGTATACTCGTCTATATTATTTCTTTGAAAAAAGCAAATGAGAGAAGAAAGAATAAAGAAATAAATATAGAAAAATTATTAACAATAAAACTGTCTTTATATGTATTACATTCTAAAGTTAGAAATGCGTCATACAATATGTAGCATTTCCAATAATTTACTAGCTCGTATAAATCTAGCATTCGAGTGTGCATTGTCACACGCCGTAGCTTTATATTTATTCAATTTTGTGCATTGATGTAAAAAAAAAGTTTTCAAGAGAATGTAAATTATATATTAGAAAACATTTTATAGAAAAATTAATTCACTATAACAATGGTTGTCAGATCTGAATGCTGACAGATAACGTCGCGCGGCAAATCTAAAAATCAGACAAATTGGATGACAAAAACAATTCTGTGAAAAATGGCATTTCCGCACTCGCATCAGCAGGAATTGATCGAACTGGCCGAAATAACGGGAATTTCCGCGATACCTGGCGTTTTTCGGTGAGATAATTTCACAAAAATAGATTTAACTCCATAAACATAACCTGTGTGCAATTCCATTAAAGTATCTGTAATAACACAATTTTCTCTTTCAGTATTGTATTAGAATTGTTGGCGTTACAAGTATCTCCGGAAGATATTTATTCACTTCTTAAACAAATCTCAACGAAATCATCGAGATTGTCAAACCAACAAATGATAAAAGAAGCATCACATACTTCAACTTCATCGACCAAGAAATAACATTTTATATGTTTTATTAATTATAACGTTTATTAATAATAACATTTTGTTTTATTAATTTGGTAATAAATATCTTTAATTGTAGTGTTATCAAAAAGAGTAATAAAATAAAGATAGTATACATAATAATGATACTGATTTATTACATATTTTCAGTGAGTTATCTTATCTTATCTCTGAATTGTACTTTTGATGGAATAGTAATCTCTTTTATCTATTCTCATTTTTGTATTGTAAGCAACCTTCTCTCGCCAGTTTGTCTGCCATTTCGTTACCATAAATTCCTACATGTCCATTCACATGATTCTAGAAAAATATACATTTATTTATAGAATAAACGTAACTGTATATTTTGTACATGTAGTATATTTATATATTAGTTAAACTCAAATATACTATTATATTTTATTTCTATAAAACTTTAAATAAAAAATTACCCAAGCTATAGTCAATGACTCCAATTCTTTCTCCATTTCCAACAATTCTATTTTATTTATAACTGGCTTGTTGTTCACTGTTGTCCATCCTCTTTTCTTCCACCTTGGCATCCATTGTGTGATGCAGGATATGAGAAATTTGGAGTCAGTGTTAATTTTCAATTTTTTGATTCCTGCTTTCTTCGCTTGTTTTGCAGCTACCATGACAGCTTGGATCTCTGCCATGTTGTTGGTAGGCCTTCCTTCCACCGGTTGAGATACATTTCTACAAAAATTATAGCTGTTCTAAGTAATTCGTCAAACATACAATTAAAATTGAGAAATAATATGTACAATGGATGATTATCTTGGAACCAAACACCAATACCAGCTCGTGCATTTTTGTATCCATTAGAACTGCATGCACCATCTGTAAAAACATTCACATAGCCATCTTCATCCACAATGAAGTCAACTTTACCATTCTGCAAATAGTAAAATATATTAATTTATAAATCAATATGTTTCATATTTGGAAATGTTGTTTGGTTCAAACCTGATCAGAAGACTGAGTTGATTTCAGATTTGCAACATTTGGTACAATTTTTCTCTTTTTACTTGGATGTTCACTGATATCACTACTACTGGTTAATAAAGTTCTCTTTGAAAGTGATGATAACGATTTTGTTACTGCAGATTGTTTGTTTCCAAGTTGGAACAGTTGCTTTGGTAAAGCTTGTGATCTAGATAAAATATTTACATTAAATAATACTGTTACAATATGATTTAAGTTTCATTGATCTTGCAATACTTCTTTCTTATTTTTAATAAAGGAACAATTGTTATTGATATTTACTCTATAGGTTTAACAATTTTATCATTTGATGAAATAAAACCTCCACTGGAACCTGTTGTTTTATTTGAAGAGGAACGTTCTTTTATAAAGCTTTGAGCTTCGCTTTCTGTTGCAAATTTTTTATATATTGATCCAGGAAACTTAATGACCTGAGCACTGCATTCGTCCCTTTCAAAAGCAGAAAAATTTATATTTAATTAATTTTCAGTGATAATTATTTGATCTGTGAATTAGTTTTCTTACCAGGTGGCATAAATTCCAGGTTTTCTACCCTTGGCAACTGCATAATAAGGCATTTTACTAGAGAAACAATAGTGCCTTGCTATAAATATGAAGTTCAATTTCATCAATTTGCTTAATATTGATTTATTCTGCAGAATTATATTTTTAATTAATACATGGCAGTTTGACTTTCACTATCAATGTTAATATTAACGCACTATTTCCAGGATCTCCTGACAAAAAATTAACAAATATAGTAAAATCCTTAAATTATGATACATTTATCATCATAAGCAATTTGTTTTTCCCTATTGGAGTTAACAGTTGTCATATTATTGTTTGTATAATTATAATTTTAAAATAAAATTGCAGTGAAATTAGAAATAAAGTTATTTCATAAAATGTTATGATATAATTTAATAAGAAATACGTCGTTTTCAAAACATTTGAGTTTGTTTCCTTGATTATAAACTTACAGCTGTCAACAATCCAATTGCTTCGAGTCCTTCAAGTCACACCAAATGCCAAATGAAAGGTTAGTTCATCTTAAGTATACTTTCCATACTACGTTTTTCTTTCATTTTAACGCTTAAATATATCTGTATTTTGTTTTAAATATAAAAAATAGCTACGTTTGATCGTAATTTAATTATTAAATTTTTGAACAAATTTTTATTTATTTATTTTAATGCAAATTGACACATTATTTATGTCACGATTGACAATAGATGTAAAGACTTTAATCTCTCTTGTTGAATTATTGAATGACTACAGAAAGAACACAAAATATTTAACAAAATTGCACTAGCAATTATAATTATTAACTTAGCAAGAGAATTCAAACAATGCAATTCTAAATAATAAAAATAAAACACACGTTATCTATTTGTAAAGCAATTTTTATTTAAGTGAAGGTCTTGGGAATATTAATTTTAGACTCCTGAAAATGTATATTGTTGATTGAATATTCATCTCTCATCTATATGCCCAATAATATGCACACATACATGACTAACAATAAGTCTATTATTATTTCTCTGCTTCAACTTATATTTTTTAATATATCTTAAGAAATCTATGCAGAAATAAAATTTGTTTTATACATTAATAATATATTCTTTTATTTAAGCTATTTATTTCTAATTAAATTCTAATAAAGTTTTATAACCATGTTAAATTTTTAAATTCTATTATTAATACTTCTATTACTATTACTAATACTTTAAATCCAATATTTCATAACTCCTATCTTCTTTGAAGAATATTTTTCTTCCTAAATATAACAAATTTATTAATATCATTTATCTATCTAACATTTACTTTAATATTTGGCAAAAAATACATTTTTATTCTAATCTATTTTTACAACACATTTCTTTCTATCTATAATCATATTGAGCCTATAAGAAATCTTTCTCAAAATAAGATTTATGGTTTTTCTATTTTAATAATTTGTAGCGCCTAGATATACTATACTGTTACTATAATTATTCATCATCGAGATTCAATTTATGTTTGATCTCCAGTGCGAGTTTATAGCCAAGTTCCGGTCGCCGATCTCGTCCCTCCACCATCGCTTTCACTTGACTGGAGTTTACTATCACACCATTGCTGGCTATCACGGTAGCCTTGGTCTTCTCAATATCAACGAGATCGACGCCGCGGCTACAATCATCGATTAGGATAGTGCGATATCCGCTAGTGAGCGCATCTACCGCGGTAGCACCCACGCAAACGTCGTAAGCCAGCCCGCAGATGTAGATATCGGTGACGCCTTTAGCCTGCAGCTGTGACGACAACGTCGTTTGGGTCAACTTCTTGTTATCCCAGAATACCGAGTACGAGTCCACCTCTGGATTCGTACCCTTGTAAATCTTTATCGCGTTGTCGACAATCTTGAGATCCTTATGCAATTCAGCGCCCCATGAATCCTGTACGCAGTGGCGTGGCCAAAGACGTTGCTTCAGCGTCGGCGGTCCTCGGAACGTCACTGTGTCATATACTCGTGCAGCTTCTTTTGAAATACTGCTGCTGATGTCCACTTCCCTAATAACAAAATTGCGAATAAATATTAATCCTTGAAGTACGTAGATGCAAATTAATTTTTTTTGTCATTTAATTTTATGACCGAGATTAATAAGCAAATTTGTGATATTTTGATAGAATTAAAGTAATTCAAAATAGAGTTTGAGACTTATAGAATTAATATAAGAACATATTCAATGAAGAACACACATATATATATATATAGACACTTTTATATTGAGTTTTGCAACGTTCTGCTAATTACCTGAGGTGTAAATTATCGATGAAGGATACGTGATCCACGGGATGCCAGTCTAGGGAATAAAACACGCCTGCATCAAACGGTATGGTTTCTAGCAATCGATTAATAGGCTCGATCACTTCCGAACCATCATGTTGCGCAGCGCATTGCGTTATGTTTAAGGAACCCGTTATAAAATCATTTTGCACGTCTACGATTAAAAAGGCACTTTTGGGACGCGTGCATATCTTGATCCATCGATTCCAGCAAAACTGTAACATCAAAAATACATGTTGAACAAGTAGATGAAAAATGTATGAAATTTATCGTAGCTTGCAGTAATTAGATAATTTATTTTAGAAAACTTTTATTTAGAAAACCTTATTTAAATATAAAAAGACATTTGGTAAAACTAATAAATTCTATAAACATTCTATTACTATTCTAGATAAAGTAGCAAACCCAAGATTATTAAAAACATGTATTAATCTTCTAGCAATCTTTTCTTCTACTATTCATAAAAAATTTCAAAGTAATTTATTTTCTACATGCAATTTTTTTCTAAATGAGTAATCACATTCTAATGAAATTTTATAGCTACATATTAAAATTAAATTACTAATTTGGTATCTTAAATATATATTTATCATTCCTTTATCTAATATAATAATTTAATATTTGATATATAATACCATTTCTCAGCGTTTTGTGCATACCTCGAACTCTTCCTTATCTATCGTGCCATCATGTTTAAGATCAAAGATGGAGTACACCTCGCGTAGTTGATCCTCTTCAAAGCCGTAAATTTTGCCGCGGTCATTTCGAAACAATGCACGACATATAAGATCAAATTCGGAAATCGACAGGAATCCGTCACCGTCCTTATCAAAAGCAGTGAAACATGCGTCCATGTTTCTCAGCTCTACCGTCCGACTACTTGTTTCCAAGTTCTATTTGTTTAATCAATACTCAGATTAGTGTCTGTGATTACCTTACACCTGGACCGTTTTGCCGAATATGTATCTGTTAATGAAATGCTGCAGTATCTTATATATTATTCTTCTCATTGTTACTGCAATATGTTACAATGTAATCCTGTTCAACTTTCTCAGAGGAGCAAGATATAGAATATTTCATAAGTATTGTCCTTCTCGTTGTTCAAATCTATTTATTATTGACAAAATTCAACGTTACAATATAATGTACAAAATTTTATTTCAATTTATCGTGTTCTCTATATTTCAGAATTACAACTGAAGAATTGCTTGTATTTTTATCATTTATCTCATACTGTTTACCTTTTTTTTTTATTTTCGTAACTATATTATCTCTATAATTTATCATCTCTTAAGTGTGGTCATGGCGTCGATATGTTACATAGATCGCGTAAGTCTCTGATGTGTCAACAACAATATATCGACCATCGGTTCGGGTTGTAACAATTCGTGCACTTCGTACTTAGCAGATTCTTCGTAAGCGTATGTTACGGAAGTATCAGATAGCAGCATATTACATTGTGCCAAAATTGAGATACAGTTACGTAACCGCGCGCATACGTTGCGATTTTCTACTGGAATCTTTGATAAATCTTCTGTAAAACCACCCTCCGATTTATCAACATTCTGAATGTTTGCACCAATCCATACGTAGCCGTTATTACCAAGTATTAGAGTGACGCCGTTATCTAAATTATGATAGTGCGTCTTTTTACGCTGGATCAGCATCGGTGGCACTTTTAGCATTATTCCTTGCGAGAGTTTGCCATATTTCAGCACTCGCGTATGCAGCGAAAGTGAACCATCGGCAAAAATTGACTGTACCTCAGCACAAATTAGGTCTCCCTCCTGCAGATATCTACGCATTGTCTGTTCATCTTCAGCGGATCTTCTTCTCTGTGAAATTTATTTAGATTAAAAATTTTTAAATATGTTTCAGTATTATCATACTTTTTGTTACAGATATTTTGATATTAATATTTGTCAAGTACAACAGGTAAATTTAATTAGAAAAAATAATGTTAGTAACTAAAATATTCTACTAACTTAGTTTTGACTTACTTAGTTTTGAAGAATAATAATTATAATACACTTTAAAACTGCTTTCAAATTTCAAATAGATTTCAATGTTAACCCTTTGTACATCTTAACAAGAATCTTGTAAAATAAATTTTGTACTTAATTTTATAATTAAAAGATAATATTTATATACTTTGTAATTTAATAATAAATGTAATTTGTAATTAAATAAAAAATAGCATTTAAAAAATTAGTAAATACTAAAAAGGTAAAAGTTGCACATGAATACTTATATATCTTACCAATTCACCACCAGGTAAATTAACACTGGACAATAGCAAAACAGCATCAAGCTTGGAATTTATATCAACTTTCCAACGTTTTTGTTGTACCTCTGTTATCCTTCCCACAATAAGATCTCCGATTTCACCATTGTATCGCGCTTTCAAAGGTCTAATTGATATGAGTTTGTTCACTTTTTCTAGGACTCCGGCGACTGACGCACGTAGTGTTTTTCCCTCATCAACGTAAGTTCCATGACCTCTAACAAGATTAGATAATGAATTTTCGTAATCATATTACGTACAAAATTTTAGTATATAATGCGTAACAACGCAATACGCAACAGTGCTACGCACGTACAACGTGCTCATTTACCTCAAAAAGTCTGGTTGACTGGATATTTCCTCTCCAGGAGTATAAAGCCGCGGCTGGATGCCTTCGTTCGTTATCAAGTTAAAATCTACCCTATTTACTGCTAATCGAACATTAATAGATGGATATTCTGTCATTATTTTATAATAATATTGATGACGTTCGATTTCGCAACTATTCTCTCAATCAACTTACTTCTAATATCTTTTTTTTAATTAGATATTTTCAAAAATATCTTCAATCTAAGATTGATTTCATAAGTTTCTTGGATATACACTGCCCTTTCACTTATTTTATTCTTTTATGTATTCTTTATTAATTTAAAGAAGGTGCAGACCAATTTAGGTTATATTAGCTTGCACGCGTTATACAAGCACAAGCAGAAACAAGGGAATCAATATAGAGATTAGCAGCATAATGAAGAAAATTCGCAGCATATTTTTCCCTAGAATATAAATTTTTTTATTGGATAGTGAATGTCATATAATGATGCAGTGTGAATCTTATTTAAGCATTTCAGCATAAATAGTTGGTAAAATAGCTAGACTTCACTATGATATATAGTTTATGGTTCGAGATAATAAGCTGACATAACCTCAACAATTTAAATGTTAGAAATAAATATAATGATTTTATGTTAGTATAAATTAAATGTTTATAATTGTTTATACACTTTATTTTATATATATATATTGTTTTTTATTTTTAGTGTTTATATATTTCATGATTCTTAAACTATATTAGAAATTCTGAGATAGTTTTCTTAATCTATATATTGCCAACACAGGTTAAGTTATTGAAAACAAAACATTTTCTCTTTCTAATAATAATTTTTTTTAGTGTGAGAAGACAAAATGGATGACTTTGTACCAACACGTGGATCTCAAATCAAGAAAAATCCAACAAGTTGTTACATGTCCATGAGTTATGAAGCTCCAAAGAAAAAATCAAAATCTACAGATAGCTCGAACAGTAAGGAGAAGTCGAAGGATAATTCTGAAACGAAGCTAACACCTGCTGAGCTGAAAAAGCAGCAGGAAAAAGAAATGAAGAAAGCGCGATACGATGTTATTAAATTCGGTATGTCTGGTTTTGAAAAACCAAAGGCAAGAAGAGCTAAGGTTGAGCTTGCTATTAGCCTAGGTGCAATACCTCCCAAGAATAGAAGGATGAATTACAATGCATTAAAAAAGCGTAAAGAAAAGGAGAAGCAAAAGAAGGAGGAAGGTCACACATCTGGATTTTCTAATAGCTTGCTCAAATCTAAAGTTAAGAAAGTACAGAAGAAAGACAATGGTATTTTAGGTGTTTATGGAAAGGTACCAAAAAATGTTTTGTCCAAACAAAAAAGCTGAGTTTATCAATCAATATTAATTAAAAATCTTTTTTGAAACTTTGTTTAAATTGGCAGAATAAAAAAATGCTTTTTAGACTTTAAGTTTATTACTTTGTAAGAAAGATTGTAATTAAAAATAAAAGCTGATTGTATATATTAAAATTAAGCTTTTTATGTTTTTTATTAGATTAGAATTAATTATAACATAAAAAAATCAATATGTTGAAACTTGATTTAAAAATAATATACAAAAACAATTTGTACAGTATTTGGAAAAATAGGAAGAGGATAAAAAGGATGCATGAAAAGAAAGACTAACTCATAACTGTAAACATTTAAAATATTTTCTGATTCATTGCTGTTTCATTACAACATCAACTATCTATTATCTAACAATAACATCTTTTCTGTGTTGTATACTATGTACGAAGAATAACAAGTAATAAAATAATATATTTTTATATAATATATATTTTTTTTTATGCATTCATTTTTGGGCCAGCCTTGAGCTTTGTAATATAGGATATAATGCTCTCGTCTGCAAGTATTTAAAATAGGGTTATTCAGGTGTGCACAGTTTCCGCAATGCCACAATGGAATGATTCGGCATTTTGGAGAACTGCACTTTGATCTCTCCAAATGAAATCAGTCAAAGGCAGCCGCAGTTGGAGCTACCTCTAGTAACATCTGCAGGAAGGCGTTGACACCTTCTGTAATTAGAAAACAGACACGAACATTGGGAAATACTTTAACTCTAAATATTAAATATTATTTTTAGTTTAATTTCAGTGTTCAAAATTTATTTTTAAACTTCTAATTTTAGTTTGAAATTATTTTAATATCACGGGTCAAACTTTATTTTAACAGCGTGTACTTACCCATAAATTTGGGCACATATCCAAGCTTTACAAACGGGAGGTAGACGAGCATGCCCGCGCCGATGAAACCGGCTGCATACAGGTACTCGATCTGCGGCTTGTCGATGATTGGCGCCACTATTAAATACGCAGAGATGATAAGCACAAGCACGGGTATCACCAGCGGGCATTTGTACGGTCGCGGATGGTTGGGTCTGGTCCTCCGCATCACCAGCAAGGCGAGCATTGCGCCGCCATAAAATATCCATGCGGTGAACGAAAAGAAGTCGATCAGCGAGTCGATATTGCCAGAGAGAACCATCGCGCCTGTGAAATTATAGATTTTTTATTTAAAATACTTTTTATTTAAAATACTTTAAAGTCGAAATGTTGATTAAAATAATTTTGCTTAGAACAATATATACTATAAATCAAAATGTGAAATATAAAAGCCGGATGTTGAAAGAACGTTTAAAAATATGTTTAAAAGACGTTCCAGAAATTCGAAATATTTAAGAAATATCTAAGACTGATACGAAATTAGGCAGAACGAGCTGCATTGCACACCTGCTACGAGGGAATGGAAGATGAGGCCTGGAGCAGGAGTGAAGCGTCGCACATGCACGTAGCTCAAGCAGTCGAGCAAATGACCTTCCCGCGATGCGGCGAAGCAGAGCCTACCCGCGGCGAATAGAGTGCCGTTGGCGGACCCAAACGTGCTGATCGCTACGGAGAGTGGCATGAACCATGCCATTACGCCCAATATTCGATTGCCAAATGTCTACAAAATATCAATGACGAAATTTTTTAAATGATTTGAACGCCTAAACTTGATTTACTTTCACGTGATGTTTCTTAAATCTATCCCGGGGAAGAATATATTTTTGAAATGCAAATTCTTAATCTCATATTTACCACCGCCACAGCCTCGCTCTCGATCATTTCCGACGGCGACATGACTGCCAGGTAAGAGACATTGATAAGCGCGTAACAGAGCGTGACGAGCGGTATGCCGATCATGATGGACCTGGGCAGGTTCTTGGAAGGGTTCTTGATCTCCTCGGTCACGTAGTTGAGATTATTCCAGCCGTCGTAAGCCCAGAGACCGGTGTAGAATGCGGTGGCGAGGCGGCCGATGTTGACGGTGCTGCCGTCGATGGTGTCGAACGCCGTTTGCAGGTGCTGCGTGTTGCCCTGTATCAATTTGTACGAGCCGCCGACTATCACCACGAGTATCGCCATCAGCTTGGCGGCGGTGAAGGCGTTCTGCACGCCGGTGGCCAGATTAACGCTGTAGCAATTGATCAGGAGTATGAGAACGATCGCCAGCAGGGCGACGATCTTCACCACCTGATCGGGCGGGTCGCAGTCGACGGTGAACGCCTCGACGGTGTACTGGGCGAACGACAGGCAGATAATCGCCATCTGCGACGGCTTCAGCACCAGGGTGGACACCCAGGAGAAGAGGAAGGCAGGCGGGGCGCCGAACGCGTCCATGAAGTACGCGTACTCGGCGCCGCTGCTCGTGTTCATGGTACCCAGCTCGGCGTAGGCGAGGGCGCCGCACAGGCTCAGCAAACCGCACGCGGTCCACACGACAAAACTGATGCCGACGCTGCCGGTACGCAGTAGCAGACCCGACGGCGACACGAAGATCCCGGAGCCGATCATCGTGCCGACGATTAGAGCCACCCCACTGACGAGTCCCACCCGTCTCTTGAGGTGAAGAGCGTCGTTCGCCTCTGCGTCCGTCCCCTCCAGCCCTCCGCTCCCTCCACCCCCGTCTTCGTCATCCCCCACACCCCCCCCAGATTGGCCTTGTTGTTGTTGCCGTTGCTGTTGCTGCTGTTGTTGAGGATGGCATAGCGACGGCTTGCCGTTGCTGCTGCCGTTGATCGACTTGCCTGACGAAGATCGACAGACCAATCCACCGCCAATGTCGCCGGAACTACTTCCCAGCCAACCGCCCGATTGCAATTGCTGCTGG